CCGTGGTGGCTGGTCGGTCCGCGCGTCGACTGACCCGAGACGCGGAGGTCGCCGGATGGCTCGTAGATCCTTTTGCGCCCCGCGAGTAGCTCGTCCGCGACGCGCTGAGTATCGCTCGTAACGAACGAAACGACGAACCAGCCAAAAAGAGCTGTCGTCGTCGAAAAGAAGAGAACGCCAGGCGAATAACTCTTCGGGCCTGTTCGAGCCCCTGGACCTCTCCGGAACCTCTTTCCCTTCTACCACAGGCAGCAGCGCTGACTTGAACGTCGTTGAACGACGAAGAGGACCACGCTCGCCTGGACCACCTCTTAATAATATCTTCCAACTCCAGGAATGCAATCTCCATAAAACTGCTTCCGTGGTATGCTGGCTGGCTTTGCTAAATTTTAGATAGGTCCACCTACCTACGTCCTGGACTCTTTGTATTGGTGGAACTTCTATGGGGCAGGTTGAACAATCTTCTAAAGTTCGTTTTGTATTCCCGTTGCTGTATGGTTTCTTGAGTTCCTTTGGCTAAGGTAGAGAGGAGAGACTCGTACGTGTCGCCAATGAGGTATGATATTTCTTAGATTTGTGGAGTAATTCCCGAAGTGTATAAATAATGGTGCAAACGTGAATTTATTTACTGGCATCTTTCCCGCTTTCTGCTATTCCGCGAACCCCTTTGTCTCCTTCCTCCTCTTTACGAGGCTCGCCCAGTGCCCACGCTAACGAACAAAGCAGCGAAAGTACTTTAAGGGTCTGCTCGATCGCGCGACACCAATAAAATGCGCGTCCTTTAAACGACGAGCCTTTGTACCTCGAGGACCACCATCATCGACACGCTCAAGTGGATCGTGCGATGGGACGTATCAGATTTTCGCGGTTTCGACACAGTTTCGCGTCGCGTTCTTTTTTCCTTCTCGAGTGCAGTGTGTTTACCTCGATAAAGCGGAAGCGATGGATAGAGGAAAATTATTTGGAGAGGAGCTTCCGTCTCTGCGAAAGATTCAAGAATTAATTTTGCATACTTTCAAATCGAGAAGCTCTACAACGGAAGGATGTTCTTATTCGAATTCCACGAATAACTCATCAAAGCTAATGCCCAAGCTTCGCCGATTTTGTATAGAAGAACTAGAGTGTAACTCGTACAAAAGACCACTGTACTTAGCTAGTCAGAGTCGACAATTTCTTAGAATTTTCCGTCGTTGCTCATTCTCCGAATAAAATTACACCGAGAAGTTTTCCAAGACAATAATCGTCAGGAATTCTCGAAACTCTGCAGTCCTACAATTACGCTACCGCAAATCACAGTTCGGTATGATAAAGCGAATCGCATCGGTAGCAGTTCCAGCTTCAACGTCGGCAGAATCGCGTATCAATTTGAATCCGTTCGCAGAGTGTATCAACTCCATTAGGGATCTTCGCCATTATCACCGGCGCACGGTTCGTCGTTCGATTATGAACGTTCCCAAGATTGTCAATAATTATCCTTCAATTAACATCCTCGCTATTATGGTAGCGGCGCGTACCCGGTATCGTGTGCTCACAATAAAATGCTTGATACATAATAGATCCCATAAATCATCTGTGTCGGTTCACCCGTCGATGTAACCTTTATGATCAACGAGCATTACCATTTAATTGCGGCCGCGGTGCGCGCGCGTGCGTGTGTAGGTGCATTACTTAGGTACGCCTCGGTTCGCGTACGCTACCGGTAATTACCTCCGCGATCCGCGATAGCCGTGCATTAATACGTTTAACGTATCAATTAACCGAGATTCCGGGACGGAGCGGACTGCGAGCGCGTAAAAAGCCCCGTCCCAGCGATCGAAAGCGAAACGAAAATTCCGTGTGCGTACGGCCGCGCACATTAGAGATCATTAGCGTCCCCGGGATCGGGTGGCGATCGCGGATCAACGATTTCTTCGATCTCAGGACGATCTCATTAGAGACAGGCTGGAAGATTCGCATTATCCGGATCGTGCGGAGCCTCCTGGCGTCGATTAACGGATACACGCCCAGCCGGGCGGTTTTTCTCGGGTGAAGAAGCGGCTTGTTGATGTCCGCGAAATTGCGATTTGCGCCAAAAAGAAAGGATCCGCACACGAGACGTCGTCGGGCCGCGCGTCTCCTCGCCCGCAACAACGAGTTACCTGAGCAGCCACGGATTATCCTGGAAGGCGAACACCGCGGAGACTTTGAAATGCCTGACAAGACAAAGATGCGGCCAGAGAAGCACGAGAAGATGGAAAACTAGTGTTTCTCGTCTCGGCTCATGTGCACGCACTATCCTAGATGTTAACATTATGTGTCTTCTCGGGCCAACAGTATCCTTTGCTACTTTCACGTGGTGAATTTGACATTTAGGACGTGGAACGATGTAAATAGAAGAATTGGATACTGTGAAGTTGAATCAACTGTAAAGGCGAAGATACCAGCGAGAGGTTACTTCTAGGTCAACGAAGCAGAGGAGTATCGTGTGACTTACGAGGTGTCGTAATGAAAAAGAAGTTTGAATACAACTTTAGTGATACCCCCCAGTGAATTCAGTTATTGAGAACGTCTAGAGAAAGCAATTTATCACTTGAAAAATTCGAGAAAGCGTTTGAAAAAGGAAGGAGTTGCTGATCAGTCGAATACACCCGTTATCTCGACCGTTCATCTACTTCCTTTATCCACAGACATCCTCCACGACTATCGCAACATTTAATTCGCTGCTCAGAGAACGCAGCGATCAAGAAGACGAATTAGATACTCGGAAACGTCAGGTCAGACCGGCGTCGAGAGTTTCGGTGGACTTCGTGAAGCCCTGTGGAGGATCTGTCCGTCGATTCCACGGAATTCTTTCGGCCGGTAGGAACCCGGGGCCCAGACGGAACGCCCGTGCAAATCACGTTTCCCCCGCGGGTGGGGGAGACGATTTGTCCCTGTCGCGTATCCGTAGGATGCATCGGCGCGGCAAGGTCGTTGCACCATGGCCCGGCCGCCGGGTCGTTAACATCCCGAACGTTAAAGTTAAAGCCGAAAAATCCTCCTATTACGGAATTAGCGAGATGATAGACCCGTCAATAACGTGGCTGGCCCGGGCTTAGCTCCAGTCCTTCGGGGAACGCGGGTGATCCATGCGAGAGAGGGAAAAGGAGAGAAAGAGAGAAAGAGAGAGCTGGGTGAACGATGAGAAACAGCCTATCCGCGGCGGCCCCCGTGGCCCGGCGGAGAGCGACAGAGAGCGAGATACCCGGAGCCGAAAAAAAGAGAAGTCAAGGCTGACCCATAAAAACGTCAAACTTCCCCTAACCTAGAGAAACGTCTTCATTACGAGGCACGGCTCCCACCGTGTAGGTCCGTGGGTTATACCGACGATGAATAGCGACTATGTATAGTCCTGGAGAAAGAAGAAGGAAAAAAAGGAAAGGAGTAACACACGAGGCCCCGGGACGAACTTGTTCTTTCTCCACGAAAGGTTTCTAGCGGGACCTTTAGCATCGAGTGCCCTCCACGATGTTTTCTCCGCTGGGCAAACAGAGGCCGCGGATACCCGGTTTCCGACGCACAGCCTGCGCCTCGAAAGGCGACGGCTAGTCCCGCTGATGGCTTTGGATAATCCCATTCGGCTGTGAAACGTCCTGGAGGAAACATCCTCGGAGCTAGAAAAGTCCGAAGGACTTTGATGTATTCGCTGAATGAACCGAAGACGATTATGCGATCTATTCACCTTGTTCCATGAATGGTAGGGCTTTCGCCCGACTCTCATGTTGATTGAATGTGTAGATTAATCCTAGGCATTCCCTCGCGGTTGGAAGAAGTGAACGAACTTTGGTATTCTGATTGAATAAAATGATTCCAAGGAAATTCTGCAATTTTCGGAGCTCATTCTCTATGGCTACAACTCTCTCGTCCCGCTTGTTTATTAATTGGACGCATACGCTAAACGGACAAGCATTCTTGCCAGGCTGGAGCAGCCGAAAAAACTTGAGTATTTTAGCTAAACGAATTGATTATGCGGCTACTATGCAATTTATCCTGGCCGTTCCCCGGTGGTAGGGCTTTCGCCGTACTTCTTTGCTAATTGGACATATAGGCTAATGGCTTGGATACTCCATGGGTTGCTAACCAATCTTAAATGACAATAACTGTCTCGCGAGGTGAAATACGCTTACCAGCGGGCCCCCTTGCACAATAAAATACAAACTCGTAATGTTAGTAAATTTACAACGTAAATTTTATTATCCAACAAGTCCCTGACCGACTGTTGTTCGCCCGGTAGCCGAACGTAAGCTGTTCACTCGTAAATTTCTTTTAGAAATCAAGCTTCACCGATTTCTCCTGAATGCGCGCGACAAAACAATGTCGCCCGAGATGAACCGTCAGACTTTGCTCGGTCTAACCTTATCTAGATGGCGCCAGCAAATTTTTTGGGACCACCTCTAACCTTATCTCCGCCCTGAAATCGCGTTCACGACTCCGGGATGATGTTCTACCCGATTTTCATGTTGGTCCGGCGGAAAGGAAACGATGCGGGCGCTGTTAAAAGCCGAGCGATCTAAAAATTAGATTGTCATTTTTAGTCAGTCGTTTCGCAGCTGAATAACGCGATAACGCGGCGGCCGCGGTCTCGTTCGCGCGAGCAACGGGGAAAAGAAGGAAGAAGGAACAGCGTCCGAGGTTCTGTTAATAAAGAAGTCGACGTTTTAATACCGTAGCTCGACAGGGCCTCAGCGAATGCCTCTCCGATTCTCTCGCTCGCTCCAGCGAGTCCTCTTTCTCCGTCTCGCGCGAAACGGTTCGAGGAGGCTCGAGAGGCCGAGGGAGACGGTTATAATTAAATCGTGCAATCAACTGGCTAATTTGTCCTCAAGCGTATTAATAAAACCCGGCCCAGTTATCTCCGTCCTCTTCCCTCTATCCGACTCCCCTCCATTTTTCTCCCCCTCTCTGTCTCCTCTCCTCTCTCCGTTGTCCTTTCACTCTTATCCCCGACACTCGGCCGCTTCGCCGTCTCCTTTCTTTCATACCGCGACCTACGCACGCGAAACTATTCTTACCGTTTCGCACTTCGTCTCCCCGACGTTCGCCGCTAATTCTTCTTTCCGCGCGTCGCGACCCCGCCGCGGCTATTTTCGAGCACTCCATTAGGACGTGCGAGATGGATGGATATTGTATACCCGATCCGTCAACCGGACCCTTCTCGCGAAATTAGTGGAATAGTTCCTAAACGGCTGGACGATTTACAATATTACTTTCAATGTTCGATTTTTGGGACGAAACGACGGACCGTTCGGAACTAATGTCTTCATTGATGTTGAGCTGCTCCCTTAATGGATAATCGTGAAAGAAGATTTTGTAGGAATATGAGTGTACCGAAAAGAAGACAAATTTGTGTGATTAAAAAATTGAAGCCTTTAATGGTACGAGTACAGAAAGTGCAAACGTGGTCGATACTAAACGGCAACTACCCCTAGAAATTAAACGGTGTTCGTTTGAAGTCAAACACTGTTACTTCCGTCACGTACACGGCAAAAGTGAAATAATTTATTTTAGTTTCTAAAATAATTTCCTCTTTATTCTGTACCTTACATTGAGAATAAATTAAACTTTATTTTACTGTATGTGTTCCAACATAAATTCGTAAGTTACAAACCAGGAGAAAAACCTCGATGAACATTAAAGAAAGCGCAGGAAATTGAAATGTCCTATTAGATGAACAGAAAATAGACTGAAACGGGGCAACGTGGAGGTTGAAAGGTCCAGCAAATTAGTCAAAACAGCAGCGGCGGGAACAGCGTGACACTCGGTTGTCGTCTCGCCGGCCCGAAACCCGGGGACCGGTTTAAGACCGTTCGCTCAATTGAGCGATACACCGACGACCACACGTGCGCCTCCGTCTCCGTCTTCAGCAACCCTTCCAGCGGCTGTTTCTCTCCCCGAACGGCCGACACGAGAGGAGAATACGGTAGGCGGTTAACTGTGTTGTACATCGCCGGTAAGTAAAGGGTCGTGTAAGACTATCTCGAGCTGCAACACGCATTTAATCCGCCGATGTATGCGTGTGGACTTACGCTCGCGCTCCACCACGTGGACCCCGGTACAATGATCCAATGGGACCTTGACATGTTCTTAAATATCGTACAATGGAAGCGATGTATATGTACTTTTCATTATTCGTATCGTCTAGAAACTATCCGCGATTCCTACGTTATCCAGAACCTAACAGATAGAACAATGGAAGCAATATACATGTATCTTTCGTGTAATTACCATTGCCTAGAAACTATCCACAATTTCTAGGCTACGTGATTCAGTAGGTAGCAGAAGTAGACAACGTCACAGTGGTGTACGTATAGATTTTAATTGCGTCGTCTAGAAGATATCCACAACTTCTAGGCTACGTTATTCGGTAGGCAGCAGAGGTAGACAACGCTAGAGCAGTCTGCATATAGGTTTTAATTACGTCGTCTAGAAACTATCCACGATTCCCGGGCTATGTTGTCCAGGACGCAACACAGATAGGACATTGACACGCAAATCGCGTGCACATTCACCAGAACCGCGGAACGCGTGCATATGCAACGTCACGAAACGCGGTCGCACGAAATATCGGGAAAATACGTGAAGCACGCGGCATATTAGTTAACGACCGAAAACAAATAGCCAGATACGAGCCGGCGGCGGTAAACGCTGCTACACCGCTGTATGTATAATGCCTGCGACGCGTTGCGGGCCGATACTAGGTCGCCTAATGGCGCTTCTCCACACGACCGCGGTGGCACCGCGTCGTGGAAAGCACTTTCGCGAACAAGTCGGTGTTTGTTCGAAGCACGATGTGTACCTACGCGTGTGCCTCGTTGCGCACGTGCCGCGAATATGGCCCGTCAGACGATGACGGACCGACGCGCAGCTAGCCTGCAAGGAAAAGAAAAACGACGGCGAATACAAATTAGCAGCTCTCCGTGTGCCGTGCAAATTGCCGGGAGTGACACTCTACCCGCGCAACACAATCAGAGTAAAGGAAGTGTCCCTTCGTCAAGTTGACTATGAATTTCTGTATGAGCGAAGAATAAAAAAAAACGTACGTGGTTAGAAAATAAACGTAGAGAGAATAAACATATAGAAAAGAAGATTCAAATAAAACGTAAAGCAGAAAAGTGGAAAGTACTGTTTTTAAACAAATTATTGAAGCGATATTTGAGTTAGCACAAAATTATAAAAATTATGCTAATCGTTGTGTATAAAGAATATATTGCAGATTGAAGAAGAAAGATAGCGCGTAAATGAGCAAATGAATCGGTCGACTCGAGGGAATGGGATAAAGTGTAAAATTTGGTGAATCCCAAGTGGTGGGGTATGACAAGTGGAGCGAGAACAAGGTGGAAAGACAAAGAGTAAGAGAGAAAAGGTATATAGTGCACATAGCAGCGCCCGTAGCATAGGGGAGTGCCTTGGCAAGAGAACGTGGACCACCCACACGGTGCCGCGAGACCACCGTGCTAGCCCACTGGCATACATTAGGCTCCACGGCTCCCCGAAAACTATACCGTGGCCCTTCTCCACCGATCGGCCTGTAGTCCTCGACGCTGGGCCAGCCGTTAGGTATTTTGATACAGTCGACACCCGTTTAATTAGCATTCGATACGGACGCCGCGAGAGGAACTGCCGGGCACCACGACTATTCTTCTCGTTTTTTCCTTTGCCTCGACACGCTCTGCGCTCGATTTTCGTCTTCCTGCTCGTCGCGCGGACCCATCTGTCCCCAGGGAATTTTCGTCTCGAGGACAGAGCGACTGACGGGTAGAACTTCGTTGGAAATTAACCCCTTATAATACCGAGAAAACACCTGACAAAAATTTTTAATTAAATTTTATAAATGTGAATGCTCTTTAGTTAACATCGGCCGAAAAGAGATATTGCTCCTGCGTATGTGAATATTCAATTTTTACCGTAAACGTGCACCTGCGATGAATATATTTCTTTTCACGTTGAGAAATTATTAGCCCGTTAACCGAGCAAGTTTTTGTATTACAAAGCGGGGCGAAAGTAAAAATGAATATAAATGACTAGTACGTTTGGTATCGCTGTTCACAGCTCAATAATAAAGTAACTCGTGATAGCCTGGTCAGGAAATGAATTACGAGGCAAGGGGTTAAGCAATCGACACTCGCAATTTCTATAGAAGACATCGACACAAGAATGAAATAAAGCTACTTGTTACTGAATCGCATTGTTTGGACAAGGAAGTGTTGCCAAGTATTTTATGTAACCTCACGAAGAAAGGAGTTTGTATTCAGTCTTGTATCCCAGGAATTCAAAGAAATTAAACAGCGAACGATCGAACCAGCTTGAAAAAGCAGAACTATTCGTAAGAGGCTGCACCTTCCGCCTCTTGTGAATTTCGTGAGAAATTTCAGATCGAGCCTTTCGCCGACGCCACCGACATTACGCCGGTTTGCCGTTCACCGTTTAGCATCGGTTGTAGAGATCGTAGATCACGTCTTTGGGCCCAAAGCCTTTCGATAACCAAAGATCGCGACGGTGCGCGTCAAAACTGCGCGCCGGTCGAATGGATTATCCTCCTCGCGAAAGAAACCACGTGAGAGTGAGAATCTTGTTGACTCGAATGGCGAACGATTCGGTGACGGGGACATGACTCATGATCCATAGGATCGCGTTGTTGCCTCGAATAGATCGAAACTGGCTGGCCCCTAAGCGCGCGCGTGTTCTCGGCGCGGACAGATCGACGGCTGACGTCATCCGTGCGTTTGAGGTCAGTAGAACGAGATGAATTGACTCGTCAGCGTCGATGCCACTTTTTTAACTCGCGTCGATGAAATCACGAGGGTGCCGGGGATCCTTCGACGCGGTGGCCCCGGCGCACTCTGTGTGACAGCGTATGAATCGTGAATCGGGGCCCCGATGATATTTTTCCTGTCCAAGCTCCGACTTGCCTCTCGTGCTTGTCTTTTTCGATGACTGATCGACGGAGCGACGAATAAATTTGGATTCTCCTTTTTGGAGAACGGCTGGCTCCGTAACGTCTTGATTTGCCGGCCGGCAGTTTTTGCCGGCCACCCGGTACCGTCCCTTCCCCGTATTTCATCCTAATCAGGAATCTGACGATTCTTTTGAAATTTTTCATTCTCTCGTTCGCCGGTGAACAGCTTCATCTCCGATTCCGTATGACTGTCGATTAATTCGATATTGTTCGCGATGCCGCGCCGGCGGAACGAGACGAATGAGCTGACCTTTGCGTTTTGCTTTTTCTGCGTCGATCGCATGTCTATATTGGCCGATCGTTACGTATGAACTCACGGGTGAATGATATACAACTTGTACGGTGGATTCCTTTGATGTACGGCCCATTGACTGCGGAGAGTTTTAATTCCGAGTCATCAACGTTCCGCGGCGCGATTACAGAAGCAATGAAATTAACATTCGATTGCTTTGTTCACACTTTGACGGCCCGTGGCACGTAGGCGCGACTTCTGTTGAGTAATGTTACGGCCGATGTCACGTGAACGTGATTCCGTTCGTATGCGATTCTCGAAAATTACAGAAGTTAAATGCGAAGGAATTTCGTATTTATATTCTGTCCAGTGTTTCGATCGGTTGCAAGAATTTATGCCTCGAAAAAATACGAAGGCCAAGGATCGTGCAAGGATTCGAAAAGGACGATATTTCGCAATCATGGCAAGAATTAAGGGGCACGTTCGACGAGCTCGCGTATTTACACGAGCCCTAATGCGACGCTCACCGCCATGATCGTTACTCAGGATCCTCGGGGTGGCCTTAGAATCGCCAGGTTTCCGCCTTAATGATGATTAACCTGGGCCATCGGTTGCGATTCACCCTTTCAACCTCTCGCGGGAACGCACTAAATCTCGTCGACCTTCTTCCCGCCCGTGAAATACATCCGGATCTTCCAGCGGACTCGTTCCTTTTTTCCCGTTGAAATACGCGACGGTTAGCGGGAATCCGCGAAAGTTGCATTAACCGATTCGAACTTTACCGGTTGAAAACTCTCGAT